ACTCAACTTTTTAGGAACTAATAACTTTACTGAAAATACTCATCTCCTCCGAATATGTCTTTTTCCTCTAAATAAGATGACAAGTAATTTCCGTTTGAGAACATTATTTATCGCTCACCCAAATATAAGTATTTTGTGAATTTGACTTTTGTCATTTGAAGGACTACAAGGAGAAACGTAAATACTCAAAAAAATAGGAATCTGTTAGTATATTAACAATAGTATAATAATATATAATCTAACTTGTTGTTTGATATAAAAAATAAATCTATTTTTTTTTATTTTAATTATTTCGTACTTTATATCTTAGTTGTTTGAATTCTGAAACTTTAAAACTGTCGTACTGAACAGTTTAAGAATATTGAATACTATCCTTATCCCATAGCCCTCCATTTCTCTCTCTCATCAACGTTATAACACATCGTATAAAATCTAGCTCAAACATATCCTTAAGATAATGAAGCGTAATTAACAATATTTATTGTTACATATTATGGTTGTGAGAATATATAATTTCCAGTTTGCTTGAAAAAAAAAAAAAAAACGTTTGTCTAGCGTTAATTTTCATGACTTCGACTGCAGTGTACCTACGACTTTTATACGAAATTTTTTAGATGTCAATGATTTTCACTCTGTTAGTTGCTGTATAGTTTTAAACGTTAATAATGTCATCCACAGAAAATGAAATAAATTGTTTACGTTTATTATTTTTATAACTAATACATGGATCTAAGCATACAATTTTTCAATCATTTCGCGAAAAAAATAATAATGTTTCATAAAAATATATTATGAAATTGTAGATCAACATAATATGAAATATTAAATATAGGAACAATTAAAATTACATATTGAGATCGTTAAGAAAATAAACAAAATGATAAATAATCAATCACAATTCCACTAAGATGCGAATTTCATTAAGTAAAATATCGTGAAGAAAATGTTTTAATATTTTAAATTTAATTTTAATATTATTCTATTTTATTTCTTCTTATGAAAACATATATATGTTATAATTCATATAATTATCATAATTTTTTACATTTGAAAATGACTCTTGCGTAATATTGGTATCTACGTAATATGGTATGATTATAATAAATATTTAAATGTACCGAACATCATTGTATTTATTTGCTCGCTGATCCGGGGATAACTATACATCACCTCTTTTTTTATATCAAGAGGCGAGTATTTGGTGATAGTCACGATGTTCGTGCGCAGGATAATACAATCAAATAGTTTTTCGACCTGGCGGTGTATTCTACTCCCACTAAAATATTCATATATTATACATCTAGGTGTTTGATAACGTCCGTACCCGACAACGGACAAGTAAATTCAATTAACTTAATTATCGTCTATAGAATTGATCATCGACCGTAGTACGATGCGTGATCGATGATTTATTATCTGACAAATACTGAAATATAACAAGTTTCAACCTCGGAGCTGAAGGCATTCAGCTAAATTGTTTTTAATAAACTCGTGTCTGTGGCGAGTATATTTTAAATCTAAAAGCAGCCTTTCCACAGGATAATATCTTAATGAAAATTGCTTGCCTATAAATAGACTTATCTATTTGCAATGTATTGGAGATTCGTAACGATCAATTATCTCTAATTTACCTTTTTCCTATACCACACGTGTTAATAAATATATGCACTGATTTTAATGATCTACTACATTATTTGAACTATTTAAATGACTAGTAACGGGCCAGCAATATACTATAATAGTAATGATAATATGCTATGGGAAAATTACCACTGTCATGCGCTTTGTTCTGCAATTAGCCTGAATAAGCACACATGATCAGATACATCACGTCAACCAACCCACTTGGAGTTATAGAAAATTATATGTACACGAATAATTTGTATATAATGAATATGAATTTGAAGGTTTATATTCAAAATATATACGACCTTGGATTATCCAAGTTGGATATCTCGTAGTTTCGAAAAAAAAAAACAGTGTATGGATGGAATGAAGAGATGTCAGCCCCACCCATGGTTAAAAATGATTTATTTCATTTTTTTTTCCATCCCATATTTTAATACTCAATTTGTATGATTCTGTTCGGCTGTACAGAATGAGCCATAGACACGCATGGAACCTATGACTTCCAGTATCCCGTGCGTATAATAATGGCCGAAGCTGTGTTACGGTCTTGAAAAGTCAGAATGCAACTATTAACCGAAAGTCCCTTTATTCTTATACAAAAAGATAATTATTGAAATAAATCTTGAATATTTCTATAATGCAACGTGTCAAATTAAATAATAAAAATATAATTGAGTTATAAATAAATGAATGTCCGACGAACGATTTCATAATTTCGTTTGATATTTACATAATTGATTGAATAACTATTTAACATCTGATATTAACGTTCTTATGGTGTATAATTTAAGAGCTGTAATCATAGAAAATCTAGGAACCGCACCAGAGGCTTTAAAAAAATTAAAAAAATTAATTCTTGAGAAACCTACTGGTGCATCTATCGCACTCCTTGCGCCCCCTTTGAAATATAACTTTGATAATGGTATCCACAAACAACAAATAAGTTCGACCGAACGTCCGTGGACGTAGCCGTTTGTGCTTGATTGTGTGTTCATTTCGAACGCCGCACAACATTTGCTTGTTTCTATGCGTTTTTGTACACGGATTTCCAAATCATTCACACGACCTTTCTTGTGATGCACCCTTTTTCCCGTGTTTATACGATTGTAATATTACACTCATATGTATTAATTTAGTCGTCGAAAGGATTGCGTGTCAACGATATCAACAGACTGACAACAGGACATATCAGTGTCAGCAATTAGTGAAATTAGAAAAAAAAATTATTCGTAATAATAAGTGTTTTTGAGCTACAAGGTACTCACCCGTATTGAGTTGTTAGTTGACGCCCATCACAATTTAATACCGAAAAATACATGCTTATACGACGGTCAAATAATAGTAATTAGTAAATATCATAATAAACCACCACGTTTCTTTTGCGGGAGTTCTTTTATGTGTGCAGTTATTTGTCACTTTTTTTTAATCGTTTAATATTTCCAGATTACCTAACGCTTATTTTATATAATTTATAGTGAGTTTCACTATCGTACTGGTTCTTTATTTAATTTTTTTTTTTTACATACGTGTCACAATTTAAAGCGTTACTTACATAATGATATGTAAAATGTTTGGTAAATTTATATTAATTAAGTTTAAATATCCGGCCAAGGTTATTCGATAATAAATAAAATAGAAAATCATGTAAAAGTGTAATATTAAGAAAAATAAAATATATTTCAATTGTATAAAAAAAAAATATATCTATAAACTATGTATTCTTTTATGGGAAATTTTAAATTTACGTTAATACTGTAAATTTTAACCACTCAAACTGAATTTATTGAACCATAATCATTCAGAAACTAAAATAACGTAATTCTATTTATTATATTGAAGACACCAAATATCAAATTACATTGAAATGTTAAAATCAATACGAAAATATAATTTTAGATTTTGTTTTTGTCATACGTTCTCGAGATTTAAAATGTTCGACAATTGAGTCACAATTTCCGAAGCACACAAATACCTCTACCAAGTTAAATAGTTTTTAAGACAAGAAAGTTATAATATTTTAACCGTAACTAGGCATAGTATCTTTAGCATATAGAATAAAATACTTAATGTTAATTTTGTTTTAATTTTAATTTTAATTTAATGTTAGTTTATTAAATCATATAATTGAATATTCGTATACACTGACAGCCATATTAACCCTTAATGTTCTAACATTTAATTTTGTAAATTAAGATCCTTTTCTTATTAGTCATCATACTCAAAATTACAGTTATTACGGACCTATCAATAGATTGTTAATCAATTGCTACGAGTTAAAAAAAAAAAAATGTATAAATTAAAAAGATTACTTTTATTACAAATTCGTATAATTGTTAGTTGTAATGTTTATAAAATGCAGCTCTGTACTATTGACTTCGGTGCGTAAATAAATAAAATAAGATAAGGTATTATAGGTGTGCGTAAGGGTGCGTAAGATTATTCTAGAATTCATTTGCTTTGAACTTAATGGAAGTTGTATACAAAACGTACCTATACAATTTATCTCGGGTGTTCAAATATAACAGCGTAGAATACTTTTGTACTCCAGAGGAGATGATTCGAGAGCGCTAAGAGGATTTGAAGCTGTAATTGTTTCTTTTTTTCAACCATATGCGCAATAACATAGGGATTCGTGTGTATTATATTTCCGACGTACCGATCGACTATGTTGATAAGGACTTTGAAAATAGATTAAAATTCCTCATTACGCCCACTCGACGCGTGGTCGAGAAAAGTTGAAAATGCATATTGAAAAGTTTAATTTTTATCACTTACCCTTTAATAAACGTACGATAACTACTCTTGACAACCATAACGGTGCCCGTGCGGGTGGAGTACCGCCGCGGAACCAGAACGCCACTAGTACTACTAGGGTGACGCCATACGTTACTTTAACTACGTTTTTATCGTGTGAAGTTCAACCCATGGCCCGCAAAGATATTCATTACAGCCCGTTAGCATTTTTTGAAAATGAAACAAAATATTTAAAAAAAAAAAAGTAAAATTATTATAAAATATGATTTTTTTTTTTAAATTTATCAATTTTATTTTCGAGCATTTTCAAATAGAAATTTCACGACATAACCCGTGCACTTTAAATAGCGTACTGATCAAATTAATGTGTACCTACAGCGTGTACCTTGATCTGTAATCATTTCAGTAGTCAATAAAATATTTGAAAACAAATTCAATATGTGTACCTACGTGTATACCTACTGTTTTCAACAAGATAATATGATTAAATTAATATTAATATTACTCGTACTTTTATATTTGGTGACTCGCTCTATGAAAAAAGGTCTCAATATCACTGGCTTAGATCGTTTTACAACTATTGCTTCACCACACACACATACACACACACGTATTACCTTCGACTGTACCACTGTGTTCTTCTGTATAGACGCCACCAGGATGACCTGTTTGGACTCGGCCGTCATGAGCGGCATAGGTAACGGGAGCTGTCCGCGGGCCGCGGCCGCCTTGAGTGACGTGATGTACAGCGTGCGGCTGACGGCCCGCTGGCTGAACGCGACCGCGGTCCAGGGCACGACGAACACGACGGCCACGTAGCATGCCTCGTAGTACCGCGTCCACCGCAAGTCGGCCAGCAGGCGTCGCGCGGGCCGCGCGAACCGCGGCACCGACACGATCGCAGCCACCGTCCACGCGGCCGTCGCGCCAGACATCAGGTACGCGACGTGCTTGTTCCTCCGGTACAGCCGGCCATGTCGCGGGTGCTTGATGGACGCGTACCGATCGATCGACTGCGTCATCAGGCTCAGCGTGCTGGCCGCCACCGGTATGTACTGCGGACAAATAAGTAACAAAACGGAACGGTAAAAGACGATACGGCGTTGTCGAAAATCTGTGTTACCAATCATGTAGGTGGGTGATATAGGGGAGGGGGGTAAACAGATTATTATAATTTATTGTCACATCATGACATTATGTACAAGACGTTCCCTTCGGTTACGACAATGCGATGTAAAGCACTGACTCACGAATGACGTAGGGGCGTATTAAAACTTACTTCTAAGGGAAGGGGGGTCGACTTAAACTTTTTCTTTAATTCAAGCTCAAAATGTACAAGTAAAACTTTTGGTAATATTTAAATCTGACGAATCCTTATTATTTGTGGTTTTATCTTTTTTTAATCTAATACCGGATGATCCATTTAGAATCGACTTTTCTGTGGTTCTTCTTTAACATCTGTCTGTGGTTTGAACGTTACGCTTGTGTTGAACTCAACAAAAAGCCCAATTCAGTATTCACAGCCACTCGTATTTTGATTTCGTTATAGAATGATCCAAAATAAAAAAAAATTTTAAATGTAAATCTCTCATATAATTGATTCCTTAAATACGGATTCAGAGGGGGCGATCACCCCTTCGCCCTCCCTCTAAAATACTCCCCTGGAATAACATCGTCATTTATTCCGCGGAAATCGTAAGCAGGTAACGCGATGAACACAAACCAGCACTCGCACCAAACGCATATAATGATGCAATTATAATTTTTCTGATATAGATCTCCCCCCCCCCCCCCCCAATATACCTGAGAAAACGTACTTATAAAATATGTAACGTTTAAAAAGCAACGCCGTTATGAAATCAAATTAGATATTAGATGGAGAATAATATTTGTCCAAGGTCATTTTTTAAATATACATTACATACCTCATACGAGTACATACACGGTGTGTAATTTTGAACAAAATCAATACTAACTGAGCACCTACCATATGATAACATTTCATAACGATGAGAAACGTATAGCTGTAATATTATGTTCAAGGTGTTTCTGAAATGGTTGAGGAAATTAGTAATTTATAGAGTCAAATAAAGATTCTTTCGAAATTGTTTTCCATCTTAAAAACCAGGGTTTATCTAATTACCTTTAAAACATTATCTTAAATATAAAAATTAATATTTGTAAAATAGTTCTTGGAAATGTTTCATGTAAATCGAATTATCGATTTTGCGCTTGTCGGGATTTTAACATCCGAGTCCTCAGAATCAAAAAATTTTAAGTGACATACCGATTTATATGAGAATTCTGCGAGATAAATGACGGTAATATATTTGTTGTTTTTTTATATATCTGATGAATTAACTCGGTTTTTACATTTTAAAATAAACATCATTAAATATAATTAATTTTTATGAAAGTTGTTCGATATAACCCAAATTAACTTCAATTCACTTAACCATACGTTGATGTTATGACCTTTGAGTTTTGTACAACAAATTTGGTGTTTGTCGAATAATATCAGTCACATTATTTATTCGCATTAAAAGTTCGTCTCTGGTCATTCTCTTGTCTGTGGCAAAAACTTATTTTTGCTATTGTGATAGAAATTGACAGGGTAACTAAAATTATACAAATTATACTACATTATATATGTAGTGTCTGTTAATTTTGATCTAAATGACATGAGCAGAATTTATTTTTCTAAGCTCAGGATTTACCAATAAACAACAACTGTTTTTTTTTTTCATGGAAATGACAGAGATGACGTGGACGCGCGGTGGTCAACGATTTTTTGCAATAAAGAATATAACGTTTCAATAAATGTTATTACAGTACATTATATAAATATCTTTTATCGATTGATACAAGATACAACACAATTATTGGTATGTGGTTTGTATGTACAAGAAATTATAACATATTCTGTACGATGTAAATTGTTCATCTTATTCTATTGGTCAATGAAATGATTTGGATTCTCAAATCGAATAGTTTTTTTTGTTGCCGTGTATAATTGGCCCCTTCATCTCCTCCCTTGGATCCATATTAACACTAGTTAGAATTCATTAATGGTAAAGCAAGTGGTGAGTATTAGAAAATTAATATTTTGTATTAAGACGTAAAAAAAGACGAACAAAACATCAGAAAATCGTCCTGGAATATAAATGTATTATTAATAACGTATCGTACTCTACTTACAACCACATCCATAGCACGCGTCACCGTATTTGTTTGAATTTTATTATGTTAAACATTTGATACAAAAATATACAACGAGTCGAATGGGTACCGTTTTAAAATATATTAAATAGCAGCGCGTAACACGTGAGGAATGATATTCCGGCCTCAGGTTCGACGAGAATTGCTTTGTATTATTTCACGTTTCCTACAGTTTTCGTATAAAAATTAAACGTACATAAGTTGTAAAACAATACGATTGTCTAGCAAAAACACGGACGCAGAAACCGAAATATTTAATAAATAAACCATGCGTATAACCTGTAATAAATTATGTACTGCCCGCGGATGATAATCACAATTAGTATAGCTAGCTCCGACGAAACTATAGTGAACGTTTGACGTACATATCATAGACAATTTTATATATATATATATATATATATATATATATGTGTGTGTGTGTGTGTGTATGTGTATGTATGTATGTATACATATGTGTGCACTCCCGAATACGTGTTCGATTGAGGTTTTCACGGTAAACTAATGGATTTTTAGAATTCCCAAAAACAACAATAGTCTACGAAGTGTGTGTACCGTGGAACTCTATGCCTTTTTGTACGCATACGTCCACCAAAAACAGGGCCAATCTGAGTTCCGATGTATTTCGAACGCATCCGCAGCCCACGCAAGACTTCAAATCGTCTAATATATGTTTACGACTCCAAGCGAAATGAGAAATGTATTGATTTCACTAAACGGTATTGTTTTCTTGATTTCCTAGGATCAAATTTTCAGTCATAATAGTACGTCTCTGTTAAAATGCTCTCAGTATCCAATTTGGTCAGAAATGTTGATATTTTGATTATTACATAGTTATAATAATAATAATAATAATAATAATATAACTATTGTATTTCTTATTAATTTTCTAAAATGTTCGTGTTTAACTTGAATCATAGTTTAATTTAATCAAATATTAATGTAAATACTCTTGAATGTATGTTGTATTATAGTAGAAGTGTATCGATTTATGTTTGATCAATGTTTTATTAAAAAAATATAATGATAGCAGCAGTAATTAAATGTTAAGATCATTTTAGAACCAAAACTATCCTGTAAAGATAATATGGTATGCAATGACCATCATATAGTAATGTTATCTTAATTCGATGATTTTTCGTTGCTTTTGATCAAATAATTTGATATCATTACACAAAAAAAAAAATGTGACGAAACAGTGTCTGGACGGTTTTATTTTAATGGTAGGTTAATAGTACTACAAGATTTGCCGTAATTCAGTGCGTAGGACATTTTGGACGACAAAAATATAGCGCATACGACAATTGAGGGTAAGAAAAATCAACGCAAAATGAATAAGTATTATATTTGAATAAAATAGTCAGTAATAAAATGGCCAGTACACAATAAATATTTAAAAATGTTTTAAAATCATGTTTAGGTCTAAAAAAGTATAATCGTATGTTTGAAATTAATTCAAATATAATAAATATTTATTTTTATTTTTAAACTATTTTATAATTAATTAATTATGGAAACGTTTAAATATTAGAAAAAACGAATAAAATGTATAGGTAGGTAGCAAATAAATCATTAATTAAAATTAAAATGCTAGAGTATACTTGATAAATATTCATTGAATGTTTTTTTTCAAAATATTTGCATGCATAGAAGTTATACGATACTTTTTGCTGTGTCTTTATGTTTTATTTTTATTTTTTTCCACTGATACATCACAGGCAATAAGTTACGCTTCAATTGACATCTCAAAACTGTTTTATATTCATTCCATCTGTCCTGTATATGACTATAATTGTTCTAAATTAGTGATTGTTTTCCTCTTTGTCTTGTAGTATATTGTAAAGACATTGTTTGATTACAAATAATATAATTAAAAAAGGCATTGAACACTGACACGATTGTGTCTACATCTATCACGATATCACTTATCATGTCAGTCCTCTTCGCACATACCTATCCCTCAATCATCGATCGGGATACTCGAATCTAGAGAGTATTGAAAGAGCCGATTTTGGAGTGGGCAACGTGACACAAGCGCCCGAAGTCCGGTAATTAGTATAATATGTATATATGTATGATCAGTGCATGCTGGATTTTGGATTATATTAGATTTTTTTTTCGATTAACTATTGAAATATTAATGATATTTCATGAATTCATAAATCGTAATAAACTAATTATGGTTATTGCTGCGCTTATAACAATATGCGGTAAGGTCAAGTCGGAATTCAATTATATGTTTCGCGCTAAAAGGTCGAAATTATAGCACCCAATTGATACTGCTACAGTGCGATAATCGACTTACAACCGTTTCATCTGGTTGTACAACTTCAAATAAATTTGCAGTATAAGGTCAACGTTATCCGGGTACACATTTTTATGAACTCTTTTGGTCGCGTGATTTCATTACAAGGATGCGCTCTAACTTAACTCATTAAAATGTTCGTTAAAATTAAAAAAATGTAATTTCTCGCATACCTACTTAATATTTCAAAAGTGTATAATATACCAAACTGCATACTTTGGTATATAATTATTGACCGTTCATCTTATAAATACGCAGAGTATTTACAAGATAAACGGTCAATTTGCTATTTGTTAATGATTTGTACATAATCGTAAAACATTTTTTTAATCATTGGAAGTTCGTAAAAATTCACAACTATGGAAATCCGCATGCTATCTTTTTATAATAAATGTATTCATTTATGTTTTGTTCAATAAAAAATACTGGTACCTATTTATGAAATGTATACGGAGATCCATGGTTATTATAAAGATTATAAGAGTATGTATTGGGAAAAAGATAAATAAATAAAATTATAAAATGTAATGG